AAGCCGGCTTCCCAGCCAGCAGCATGGAGCTGGCTTCCCGGCTAATCAGGAAGCCGGTGCGCGGGTAATGATCCACCTCACACCTTCCTTATTAGCCGGGAAGCTAGCTCAATGCTGATTGGACCAGGAAGCCAATCAAGAAGCCAGGCAGCGAGTAATGACACGCTGCCCGGCTTCCTGACAAGTCTGATTTAGACCTTTTGTTTGGGCACTTCAAGCTATCTCCTTTTTAAAATTTTAATGTTATTGTATCTAAATACCAATATGTAAAAAAAACTGTATATATCCAAACAAATACCAAAAAAGTCCTCCACCATCCCCACCAATTTAAAACAGGCAACACTGTCAATCACTCCCAACATTACTGAGCCAACCCTGCCTTGAAGTGGTGTCTTTGTACACAATTTCTTTCTTTTAACCCTTTTGCTGCCAAGGACGTACGGCATACAGAGGTAAAAAAGTGCTTCTGGCTGGCCAGCTCAGTATGCCGAACGGACCTGGCATTTACAGTTCTACTATAAGCTCATGGTCGCTTTAGCTCCCCGGACAGTCCCCTCCAAATTAATAGCTGTCATCAGCGGCTCACAAGCTGCTGATGACTGCTATCATCAAAAATACCCTCGCCGGCACCGCTGCCGGCCGCCGGCATCTGGAGTCTCTCATCCCTCCCTGGAGCCAACCCAGGGAGGGATGAGAGACTCCATGGATCCCCGCTGCTGTCCCCCGATTGTGCTGGGGCTGCAGAAAAATAAAAAATAAAATAAAAAAATGTAAAAAAAAAAAAGTGTACAAAAAAACGAATAAAAAAGCACAACCCCTCCCTCCCCCCACATAACATACACATATTGAGGTGTACGCCATGCACATGCGCTGCAGTGCGTTGTTAGAACGCATCACAGTGCATGATTTTTTAAATGTATTTTTTTCTTTAAAAAAAATTTAATTAACTGTGGCAGCGCATGGCAAAGCTTTGTGACGCATTGTCATGCGTTGTGATCGTTGTGTAGCAATAAATATACGCCTGTATCATTTTATCACAACACAAACCCCAACACAGCGTAAAAACTATTTTTTAACATAAGTCGCTTATTTACAGTTTTGCGTACCGTAATTTTTTGACCTTTTCGCAAAAAGGCGCAATTTCAAATTTGCAAATATTTGTTATTTATTAACTCAATACAGTTTTATCTTTTTTAGATTTAGTCAGAAAATTATTTTTGCGTGTGCGCTGATACTGATTTTAGTGTGTTTTATCAATTGAATTGTGTATTTTTATCGGTTTAATATTAATTTGAGAAACATTTGCGCAATTATCGCAGGGCCTACAAATTTAGTATCACCATCTTTTTATTCTACCGGGCCTGCGCTTTCAGAAAATATATGGTTTGGGGGGTCTTTTACAAACGCTAGCAACTCAGCAGTTGAAAATCAAATCAATAGGAAAAAA